GTGGCTGGCGCCAGAGGGGGTGCTGGACGACGCAGGTGAGCGGGGCGGGCCCAGCAGGCCCCCCGGCGCTGCCTGTGCCGCCGCCAACCCGCGCCTCAAGCCGCGGCTTGCTGCCCACGGCCTGCCGTCCCGTCCCTCCCACCTCACTGTCCCGCTCCCTCTGGTGCCTGCCCGCGCCACGGCTGCAGGCGTGGAGCTAGGTGTCAACTACCCCTACCCTGTGATTGGGGTGGAGGAGAGCCTGGCCTCGCTGGCGGCGGCAAACGCCGTGGTGCAGCAGTGCCTGCGGGCCGACGCCGGCGGCGCGCCGCAGCCCGGCCCCTTCCGCCCTGCCACCGACGCCGACCCCGAGGAGGCGGAGCGGTTGTTTGAGGAGAACTACAAGTGAGTGGTGGTGGGGTGGTGGTGGTGGTGGTGGTGGTGGTGGTGCGGTGGCTGGCTGGCTGGCGCTGGGGCGCGTGTGTCGCGCGGGTGTGCCAGTGGCGCGCCTGCCGGGTGTGGCCCCGGGCTGTGGGCTGCGGAGGGAGCGCCGCACCTGGCTGCACCGCCGTGCCTCACCCGTTTGCTCCCCCTGCCACCCGCCGCAGGTGCGAGCTGCTGTACGGCCCCGTGCCTGCCACCAAGGCCGCCCACGACCGCGCCGAGGGCTGCGGCGCCACCGAGGATGTGCAGAGCGCGGCGGGGCCCACAGACACAGACCTGGCCTCGGTCTACCAGCCGGGCAGCAGCCTGGGCGCAGCCAGGCCGGCAGAGGCCTCGGTGGCGGCGCCTGCGGCGCGGCGCTGGGACGCGCCCTCGGGCACCGCCACCGCCACCGACGCGGCAGCGGGCGCCACGACGGGCGCCGCCTCGGCCGCGGCGGCGCCGCGGGGCCGGCAGCCGCAGGGCAAGCGCCCCGCGGAGGCCATCGCTGCTGCTGCGGCGGCGGCGGCGGCGGGGGCAGAGGGCGAGCCCTCGTCGCAAGGCGGGGAGCAGCAGCAGGCGCAGGCACGCGGCGCCATCCAGGTGCCAGGCTGGCACCCCTTCACCACGGCGCCGCCTGGCGGCGGCGCAGCCGCGGCCGGCCGCAGCAACGCCGGCTCCGGCTCGGGCTCTGGCCACGCCTCCATGTCTGGAGTGGCGGCGGTGGTGCCCAGCTTGTCCCGCGAGGCGGCGGCGGCGGCGCGGGCGCCGGCGCCGCGCCAGCTGGCGGCGTCCGGGCAGGAGGGCCGCCAGGCAGCAGCA